TAAATTCCATGGACAATTGACTAGACATTTTTACAAAAGTGCAATTGAACTAGATTTAGAGAAATAAAAGTGATAAAATGAAAAATTTTACAATTTGAAAAATGACAACATCGTACCCTTTTTTCTCTTGTTTAATGCGAAAAAAAAAAATTTCAATTAGCATTTCCATATGCATACAAATGATGGTAATCCAAAACGTCACGCGTCGACTCGTGGAAGTGTACATAATCATCTCTGGCTAGGAATCGCGTGTGAAGAAACTCCTCGTGTAGTTTTCCAAGTGTACAACTAAGGAGTAGGCAACGCGAACGGAAGTCCGCCTCGGTGATGAGCGAAGGTCGAGTATTTCAGATTTTCATTGCTTCATGTTAATGCGTCGATATCTAACCACAACTACCAGGCTCATTAGCCTCTCCCCCCTCCCCCCCCACTCCCCCCGCGATAAATCGATGAAATTTCAAAATAAAAAGGAACAGAGTCGAGCGGAAATGAAAATAGTTCAGTGAAATTTCCGGAGGAAAAAAAACATGACCGAAAAGCAGCATGGGAGCATTCAACATTTTGCGGAAAGATGGGGGAGGGGGGGGGAGGCAAAAAAGGGGGAGAAAAAGGGCGAGAGAATCGAAAGGCGATTTAACCAAGCGCAAAAGCTGCAGAGGAATTGTCGAGGCGTGACTGGCATCGACTCCTTTTCCTTGGAATGATCTTGCGTTGTACTTTCAGAATACAAAACAATCAGCAGAAATCATCGACATATTTTACTGCTGCATTGGAAAAACTAGTGTTTGAAGGCGTGACATTTTTGTCTTCTTTCTTAAGACGTTTGTGTATCCAAATTTAATTAGTATTTAGTGCAGGGAGAGAAATATTCAATAAAAATTACGTATCTTTTTCGTAATTCCGAAGCGCAATGTAGTTGTAGAAAATTTTACGGGACTGTCACATAATTTTTATCTAAAATCACGGAATTTTTCCAGAGCGATCCGTAATTTTTACTTGAATCTCGTGTGCAGAATTGCGATACCGTCACTTAAATTTTTGGAGTCGATTTCGTAATCGGTGGGCGAACTGTGAGTTCCGTAATTTTTACTGAACATTTCTCTCCGTGTGTGTCAGATTCAGACATTAAGACATGCATTCTGGGTGTCATAATGTCTTTTCTGTTTTTCCAAAACAAAATGAATACGTTATTCTTTTTTTCTCCATGGCCATCTATGTAGCATTAAAAAAGCCGATAATTTTTTCCATGACCTTTAGATGGGTGCGAGAAAAAATTTTACTCTACAGGACATGATAACCAGACCAATAGATAGACGGTTAAGGATAATTTGAGGTCCGTCAAGAGATCAAAAATTGATAAATCACCTGAATACGCCAACGATGGGTTTTATACCTGAAAAAATACATGAATTATGGGAAAATGATGATCTATAAGTGGAAACAATGAAGGGATAAATGATAAAATGACGAAAAAGTGGGATGCAGCCCAAACACCCAATAGATAGACGACTGGCCAGAAGATAGACGGTGGGTTACTAATAGAAGACGTTCATATTTAATGGTTATTCAAACAAATTCATCCCTCTGCATGTTTAAAAATGAATAATGATTAATCGCACAGATACCGTGTTTATTTGTCCTGATGAATGTTTTTTCACATTGTTCCGTCAACACTGCGTGACTGTTGTCTAACTACTCACACCGCCACTGATGGCCAATACTGTACCTCGCGATAATTTATTTTTTTACGTTCAAAATGTTCATCAATAAAAAATAAGAAAATCATCGTGTTATTATACATTAGTTTTATTATCAAAATAATATATTTCTTAACGAGTGCAAAAAAGTGTTTTGAGTGATATAATCCCACGAGCTAAAAAACATTTTTTCACGAGTTACGAACAATATTTTTCATCACAATGTGGCGGAAATTGGACTTTTAGGTTCACTTTTAAGTTCACTTTTCGTCACAGCGTGATGAAAATAGAAATTTGTAATACAATTTCTATTATATTTTTTATAGAATACTAAAAAAAAGTTGAAATTGTCTATCTTTCGGTCGGTGTCTACCTATTGGTCTGGTTGCCTAAATTTTTTCTTCCATAGGTATTTTTTCAGTAAATTACACTTCACTCCGCGAGTGCCTTATTACCTTTCTTTTCGTACAGTAAAATTTTCCACGATTTTCAGGGTAATTTTTATTCAAGTTTTCTCTGTGTACGTGTGAATACTAATTGAAATATATTTTTTTACAATGACCTATTGGAGAATCATAGGAAATTGAAAATTTTCTTTACTTAGAATTATGAGTCCCAGTTGGTTATTGAAGGAAAATTTTTTCCAATCAGCGTTGCAGACTATAATCTCCCAGATATTTTAACGTGATAAATTGTTACTTAAAACATGACAACACCTGCCGGAAGATCACGTTAGAAATTTTATTTCTGATGAATCATCTGTTAGTTATGAGCCGCCGGTATTATCTGCCGTTGGTAGTCGGTCGGACGATCCCAATTGACGAGGATTTCTTTGTGTTTATCAAATGAATACGAAATTTAATGAGTGTTTCGATGGCTTTGAGAGGGCGACCATTCAATTAAAGTTTTAACGAAGTGAAAAGGATCTCTTGTCCGATAAATCCATGAATAATAATAAAGAAAGTTGATGTTTGTTCGGAGATTAGTGAACGCATTTGACAAGATTACATTAGAGATTTCTTTTTCTCTTTCATCAATCATCGTTCAGTGTTGTGTCACCTGTATTGTTCGGATGGCTCATCGCTGATGCAAAATCATAGGAAATTCCGGTCAAATGAGGCTCAAATGAAAGTAGAAAAGCATTTCACTGGAGAAAAAATGGACGAAGTACTTAGATATCCTTAAGAAAATTTCAGGCTTCAAATGAAGACTTGAAAATCTTATTTTAAAGCCTTAAAACTCTTAAAATAAGATATCATTTTGTGTCGACTAGTGGAAAAAATACAAATGGGCTAAAGCAAGTTTATTGATTTCTGTGATGACTCCATTGATATTCTAACGACCCCTCTATCCTCAATTGCAATTAAAGCGCATAGCTTCGTCAAATCCCTCAGAGAAACGTAAAAAAGAAGCGTAAAATAGTGTTTATATCCCATTTATTTTGATCTATCACCATTTTCCTCAACTGATATTGTTTGTAAATATGTGTATATTTTTTTCTATGTGATTTTAATGTTTAATGATTTGACCCTGTAATTGGCCTAGGCTGTCGGGTCTCTAATGAATAAATAACAAATAACAAATAACAAACAGCAATAAAGACAATAGAAACGGAAAAAACTTGTTCCATCGAAATGTCCAGATATGTTCGAGTAATTTATGCAAATCATTCAAACAAATCGGTCAACAGAATTGATGTCATTACGCGGAGATTCAAGGTGGCTGACCCTTTCAATTAATCGTGTCAACATCGTGATCTGACAAATTAAAGAGCCTACACAGGAAACAATACTTTTAGAACACTCAACCGTGACCCTCTTTCCAGCGTGGGTTCGCCATTGAGTTATGATATTGCGATACTTTCATTACATAATTAAATCACGGAGTGAGTGACAGTGGCGAATGCAAATGAGGTGAGTCGTTGATTGGGCACGCGATTGGAAATACCGGAGGTGGCAGAAATGAAGATTGCCGAAAGAAATGTTTGAATTGATTGTTTGGAGGTGGGGGAATGAATCTAATAGAGTTTCAAGGCCTAGATAAGAGCGATTGGGTTGGAGATAATGGGGGAGCATTGAGGAAAGATGTGATTCAGAGAGCAACAAATTGTGTGAAATTTGCTCTGATTTTTTTCAATTTATTATTTATAATCATTCTCATTGCAAAAAGCAATACGACCGATGAGAATCATATGCGCCATTTAATCAGCTGTTGAATTTTCATATCACAATAAGTGATTTGCTCATGTTCTAATTCCTAGGCTCACTGAATAAGATTTTAACCATAATTCAGTAGTGAAGTGATAAAACGGGACAAGTCAATTTTGACTATTGACTAGTTTTTAATGGATATCTCGGAATCTGAGGGAGATAGCAAAATTTTTATTATAACCTTTTTTGTAGCGCCGATTAAGAGCTACAATAAATGTAATTACGAAAATTTCGCTATTTCCCTTAGATTCGGAAATATTCCTCAAACACTCAACTGGGGGATGAGTCGACTTAAACCGTTTTACCACTTCGCTACTGAATCATAATTCGATTCCTTCAGAACGCACTTTAGAGTGAATTTCTGAAATTCAATGGTTGTTGATACTCTGGTAAAAGTTCGTGCCCATGCTATTATCAATTTTTAATTTGTTCACACGGTAATTCAATTCTGTAGTGAAGTGGTAGAACAAGGTTAATGTATTTTGCCTAGGGTCAGTTATCGATCAATAAATCATAAATGACAAGAGGTAGTGAAATTTTCATTGGTATCTTTTTTGTAGAGCAAAATGTGAGCTACAAAAATGATTTTCATAACAAATTCGCTATCTCCCTTCCTTTACAAGATATTCACAGATAACGCATCCTAAGCAAAATTCACTTACCTCGTTTTATCACTTCACTGCAGAATTAATCTGTAGTTCATCTCATCAATATAATTTTGTGCTTAGAATATTGTCATCTCGTGTTTTCAGCACCAAATTAAAAATTAAAACTTCATTTGGAATATTGAGTCACAGATTCTTTTTATTCATATCAGAAATTTTGTATTTGGATATTAATATTATTTAAACTTAAGTGGCAAGTTTCAAAAGACTAAATTTGACAGAATAAAGCTTGTTTTTGGGTGAACCAGAAATAAGCAATTACCTGGTTAATTAACGATGGATACAATGAATTAACCACCAACAATTGCCGAACAATTAATAAAAATGATGAGTGGATTTATGAAAACATTTGTTCATTATGTCAATTCATGTTGTTTACTTGAATTAGTTACACTGTTTTTAATTCACGGACTTTTATTTAATTCCAGAAGTAGAGAAGAGAAGAGTACCACGATGGTACTTACTGTAACTGAGGACACGCCAGCAGACATGCTCACTGGGAGCATGGAGCTATTGGTCCAATTACCAAGGGACCATCATGTTCACTCGCAGAGAGTCACGGTCGAACGAAGGTAAGAAATAATCATCAAGAAAACATTCATTATGCACGATACTTTTTTCTAGAAATGATTGATTGATTGGTTTTTTCTATTGAGAGTTGGAATTCATTCGCGATGCACTTTGAGCCAGTGTTTTCACCCGTCAGTGATCAGTTTACTTATGCAAGTCGAATTATGAGGTCATGTGATTATGTAAAAATTTTGTAACCGTACGCAAATATTTTCGCGCATTTATGCTTCGGAGGATTTTTATTCCCATCATTTTCATTTTTACAGGTGAAACGTATTGAATTCATCAGTAGTATTATCTTTGATTCCGAATGGAAGCTTTGTAATCGTTCAACTTTGAGTTTTAACTAAGTTTTTCTTCAAATTATTCATTCAATTTTGATTCATCCATTAGTTTTTTTAATTTTTTAATTTTTACGAAAATCGGTTGTCCCACGATAACTAAAAAATGCTCTGAATTGATTGAATGATGGCTTTAAAAAAATTGTTTGAATGTCCTTTCGACCGAGTTCGAAGATGAAGGCGATAGCAATAATCGTTATTTTGATTTATTTGAAAGTTTGCAAAAATTTTGTATTTTTTGAAAATCAGAATTCCGGGGATAAAATTGCCCCCTTGAAATTATCATTTGTTTCATGGAAATTATAAGTATTTATTGAACAAAGATATACACTACTCAATATCATTCCCCTGATTTTAATTATTTTCCATCCATACAGAATTGATTTAGTTGAATTTTATTCCTGAAACGCATTTTAAACTGGAAAAATACTTATCGGGAATTTCAATGATTGGAATATTATTCATCTCGTATTACTGCACCTCAACAATAAAACACTGAAATGACTTTCGGTGGCAGCAAGCATACCTCGAGTCTCGATCATCAGTTGCAATATGTAAAATGGCACGCACGTTAAATTCATTCTTGCGCAATCGAGAGTAAACTCACTCGTTGGCCCACACAAACCTCCATCAATGTTTTATTCGCCTTTAAAATTCACGCTGATCACCCGTGGGCCATTTATGCGCGTGTATTACATACCATAATACATGTTTTACCTCTGTACCATCTCCATGTACTTTCAATTTGATCGAGCCAACTGTCGGCAGACTACTGCACGTGGAATCGAGGGAATTCCAATTCAATTCGCCAATTAAATTTCTCAATGTAACAAGTGCTCTATTTTCTCATTTTTTGCATATCGATAATTTTCTCCTTTTTTTCGGTGGGGAAATTGAGATAATTCCAACGGTCGGATCAGTGTTTTTTTTTTAATGAAAGGGGATTCATTTTCACGCGAAGAATTTAATCCTTTCATGAAAATTATTTCCCAGAATTTTTTTTACATGTTTCGTTTTGCAAATGATGATAAACAATGTACTTTTCGCATGAATAATTGAACCCGTGTAAATTATTTTGCATCTTCCTGCTCAGTTAATCGCAAAGATAATTGGCCCGTGAAATTTCTTCTTATTGAATTTTTTTATGGTCTAGAAAGAACAAAAAATGCATAGAGTATCGTAAATCCATTGAACTTGAGATAATTGCATTGGTTGTGGTAATTTTTTAAAAATGAAAGTAACTTTGTTATTTTCACAGAAACAATTTAATTTATTCCTGAGAATTATTTCACTAATTTGTTCAAATGAGAATGAAAATAATTTTTCGCGAAATTTTATTTAGTAAATTATAGAAAATTGTGAATAATAATATTAATGAAAGTAGATTTCACACGAATGATTGACTGCATTCATGAAAATTATTTTACATCTTTCTGTTCAGTTAATCATTAACCTAATTGTCCCGTGAAATTTCTTCTTATTGAATTTTTTTCTCGTTTCGAATGAGCAAAAAGTGAAGAAAACATCGTGAATTTCTGTCTCATCCGTTGAAATGTTTTAGAAATGGAAGTGACTTGGTTATATTTGCAGGCACACATTAATTTATTCCTGAGATATTATTTCACTAATTTTTGTTCAAATGAGAATGAAAATAATTTTTCGCAAAATTTTATTTTGCAAATTATAGAAGATTGTGAATAATAATATTAATAAAAGTAGATTTCACATGAATAACTGAATGCATTCATGAAAATGATTTTACATCTTTCTCTTCTGTTTATTTATTCTTTCTTATCGTTTCGAAAGAACAAAAAATAAAGAAAACATCGCGAATGTCTCAGTCTCATTCGTTGAAATTGATATAATTTCACGTCATATAATTTTTTTTCAATATAAATTACCTCGCAAGAATTTATTCAGCAAATGACAAAAAATTGTGAATAATAATACTAATGAAAGTGGATTTCACACGAATGATTGACTGCATTCATGAAAATTATTTTACATCTTTCTGTTTAGTTAATCACAAACCTAATTGTCCCGTGAAATTTCTTCTTATTGAATTTTTCTCTCGTTTCTAGAGAACAAAAAATGAAGAAAGGATCGTAAATTTCTCCGGCTCATCCGTTCATACCCGACAACTCTCTCTCTTTCATTATTTTATTTGTATTCATGGGAGAATATTGTTCGGGCAATATCAATGCGATTATTATTTACAACCAGCGGGACAGTTACAACGAGATGATCATCTCCTTTTCATGACCCCGTAGTTTATCGTAATACGTGGAAAAAAAATTGTGCGTAGAACCGTGACTGCATCGTGTATACCGCTCTCAGGATATTTCGATCATTCGATATCTAGTCATGCGTACCATCTGGGGCTTCCCGTGTAGTTGTTGGCCGTTTTTTTATTGCTCCAGCCGGGGAAAAATGTATTAACAATGGGTGTGAAGAGAAGAGGTTATTCGAACAAAAAGTTCTTTATTTTGAATAATAAAATTTCTATTTCTTCTCTCATGGGAATGGATGAAAATAATTCTTTTTATTAGCAATATGCTTCCGAATGCTCATTTCGCGCATTATTTTCTTCAGTAGTATATCATTTATCGTTTTATATTATTTTGTTAGATTAAATTATATTTCTTCTTTAATCAATTGTGATTTCTTGTGAAAATTCTTGTGTAATTTAAATGAAAGAATGATGATATTTATATTATCTTCAAACTTCGATAAAATGGTATTAGAATTTTTTTTGCGGTACCTCAATGATCTCTCAATGAATTCAGCACATTTTTTTATTATCGTGACCAGTTTTTGAAAAAAATTAGAAAAATTAATATCTGAATTAAATTTACATTTTTGGACTTTTTGTATCATAATGATTGATTTCACACAAAAATTCGAAAGCTTCCATTCAAAAGCAAAAAGACGACTTGAGAAAGAAATAGTGGAACTTATTAATTCAGAGATGATCGAATTTCGCAATGATTTTATGCATTCAACATCCTTGACTCAATTATTACAACACAAATAAATAAATTACTTTCTCTGATGATAATTTTTCCTCAAGGACCTCTCTAACTCATGTGTCGAAGACCTGAATGTTATGTTTATCATTTATGCATGGGAATGAAGAAAATTATTGTAAAAACGACAACAAATTGCGAATTTTTCCAGATTTGAAGTCACAGTTGCTGGAAAATTTTTAAAGCAGCTCACAATTTTAAACTCATTGAGAAAATTGGACATTACATTGCAATAGTTACCTGAATTTGCAATAATTTTCAGTAATAGTGCACAAATAATTTCACGTAAATTACTCGTTGTTACGAATTCACACCGAAGAATTCCTATTAAAAAAATCTATTCCTTTTGATTCTTTTCCCAAAACATTCATTCAATCGTTCTATTGAAAAATTCAGCAGCTTTTTTGAAATGTTAAATGGACAATATAATTTAAAAAAACAACATATTTCGATCTCTTTATAAAATCAATTCTGTTCTTTCACTGGTGAATGTTTTCCTCAGGAATGTAGTTTAATCCAAAAAAAAACACTCTTTACCCCTAAAAAAACCCAGAGAAAGACTAATCATTGCATTCAGGGTCATGCAAACAATTTTTTTGTATTCCAGTACAGCAATGATGGATCTACTGGTGCAAATAGCGACGGCTCACAAATTGGCAGCCTCGAGTTACACCCTACAAGCTATAGGCGAGCGCGGAGTTGTTCTGCCCCATCAGCCAAACACTCCCATTGGAGCGCTGGATGCTCTCCAGGTATTTTTCACCGTCTCCTGGTTGCACATCACTTTTTATCCCCCGCCACTGATTTTCCCTCTCACCAATCGGTGATAGAAATCACTCCAGTTGTACTCATGAATTTTTTCCACATTTCCTTCTCTCCTAGGTCTCATTTATCGTTTTATAAATGTTTTGGTTTTTTCTTTATTGTTTAAGGTAAAATTGCTACCGAAACAGGGTACATTTATCCCACGTAAAGCGAAACAGCCGAATCAACCGTTCGAAACGACTTTCAGATTGCAGGTGTGTGCCCAATTACAGATATTATTTATTCAGGGGAATCAATAGAAGTGATAACTGTTGGTGGGAGAAGCTTTCTTCTGGTTTTGCGGGTTTTTCGTTAGGTTGTTTCTACGAAAAGAGGGAGAGAGAGAGAGTAGACCTTTTCATTCTGAGAGGCACTAGATTTTCGGACACTTGGAAAAAATGCGAGACGAATGGTGAATTTTTCCACGCTTGTTCCGAGAAATTCAATAAACGTCGAGGCAATTTGTCCTAAAATTATACAATTTATCCGGAATTCCGTGAAAAATTACACCAGCGAACGTGAATGATTACTCAATGGCTAGGATTTTTTCTGTAACGGAGGATTGTTTTTACCAAACGCTGTACAGTAAATTCTTACTTTCGTTCGTTGTCCTTCGCATCGTTGCCGGAAAAAATACTATAACCTTAATTTTTGCATCCACAGATGACTTTTTTTAATTGAACGCCTCTTAAAATATCCTTCTCATACGGTATTTTTTATTGGAAAATATTTTAGTCGACAATTTTTTTTAGATTACCTTTCGTGTAGTAAAATTTACTGAGATTGTCTAGATAATTCAGTAGCGAAGTGGTAAAACGGTTTAAGTCAGTTTAGTCTTTAGTTGAGTTTTCCAGAAATATTTCCGAATTTAAGGGAGATATCGCGATTTTCATAATGACCTCTTTTGTAGGGCGAATTGAGTGCTACTAAAAAGGTTATGAGAAGAATTTTGCTATCTCCCTTAGATTTCGAGATATTCATTAAAAATTGACCAATAGCCAAAATCGACTTAAACCGTTTGACAACCGTCTGAATTTTCTTCCAACTTTTTTTTTCGTGTACGAAGGGGGAGAATTTTCGATTTGAGAAATATTCATATTCTCGTAGTTTTCAGTTATAATTATTCTTCGTTTAAAAATACTAGTATTTTCTATCCCAGCAAACAGTATGTCGACAATTTGTCGACAAATTGCCGATGTCTTGTTAAATTTTTGATGGCACTGGCAAAAATTGTTTTCTGGGATTTGTTAATATTGTTGATGGTACCAATAGAAAAAATAGTTGATGGTCAGAAGCTTTCTTCTGGATTTATCGGGTTTTCATTAGTTTGTTCCTACGAAGAGAGAGAATTCTTAATTCATGAATGTGACACTTACTGTTCTATAATCGAACGAAGAATAGACTTTTTAATTCTGAATCACTAGATTTGCGGACACTTTACCGAATTTACATATGAATTATCACGGGGAATCAAATGTACATCATCATAAATGTCAATATTTATCCGAATTTTCCATCATTTTTTCGATGGTTTTCAACTCGGTGAACGGAATAAATATTTCCTCTAGATTTCATGAATGAAAAGCTCTATTCATACTCTCTATTCTTGATTTCAAAATGCGTCATCTACCATGCTACAATCTTACGAAGTATTCATGCTCTCTCGTAATTTTAATTAGAAGTACTTTGAAGAAAAAAAGAGGAAAAAATTGCCGAATGTATTTCTGTGTATGAGTCACTATTAAATACCTCAACTGTCGACAAACACGCGGTCTATGTGTTTTCGTTGGCGAGGTTTAACACGGGGAAAAAATTATCAATTCAAGAATGTGGCGCCTACCTCTATGATTCGTAATTTAAGAATCTTTCCTTTGTAGGAATTAATAATAGATCGACGTGTTTTCATGTATTCTGATTGATAAATTTATAAACGGAAACAATTACGGAATTATCCATTCAAGAATGTGGTAGCTACTATTCTAACTTATAAATATTGCTAGACTGATCCCTGTTTTAAAAATACCAGAAAGCCATCTGCTCTCGCGCGCACTGATCTATCGCCTCATTTACTTGTGATAAACTTTTTTGTGTGTTTTGTGTGTTATAAGAATGAATGAATGGAATTTCTAGAGAAACGAACAATTTTCTTGAATTATTAAAAAAATTCGAGGATTCTTTAGAAAATTGAATAGTTTTCTAAATTTTTCTCGAAGAAAAAAATTTTTTTCTACAATTTTTTTGGAAACCGAGGAATTTTTTAGGTTTTCAAAAAATGGAAAAGAATCAAATTTACGGCATTTGCGAAAAAAAGCGTAATCGAAGGAATTAAAATTGATGAGATTGATGAATAAAAATCCAAGAAGAAAGAATCAATCAATTTCACGCATGATAAACATCAGAAAATTGACAACAATGTCGCAAAGAATAATTTGTGAGTTTTTAGAATGTGAAAATGCCGTGTTTTTTAGCGACTCGTTGACCAATCAGATATATTTCGATATAAGGGAATAATGGGCGGATGACTGCTGACTGATCGAACTTGTGATTGTGACTTTAATATTTGTTTAATATGGTATTGTGTCTTTGTTGTATAAACTTTGCAGGTCCAGGTGGGATAGAAGTTATGATGACAAAAATATGTATTTTTGACAATAACAAAAAACATCGGTATAAAACACCTTCACAAAACGTTGTGATTTTAAGGATGGGAATTTGTCTTGTGCGTGAATTAATTACGGACGCACCAATCAATGAACACGTGTGAAAAATCATGAAACAAAATTTCAGGTGCACTTGCCGAGGAATCAGCTTTATGTGTCACGAGTCAGTCCAAAGATGAATCTTGGAGAGATCATTGAGGAGGTGTGCAGAGAGAAGAATCTGGATAGGAATAAATATGAGCTTCGACATCCAGGTAAGATACTTTTAAATATAGGAATGATTTAAAGACATGCATACAAAATAAATTCATTAATGTGTTTTTGATCCTTAAAAGACAAGAATAATTTGACAGAAGGAAAAGAAGATATTGCTTCCCTTCGAACTCAGAGCGATTGAGCGTAAGCGACGGTTATATTTTTTTAATATATGCAGATTTTTCTCTGCATAAACCCTCTATGCATTCAATATGAAAGTCTCTGATTCATGATTCACTGAATCGAAGCTTTTAATATTTTTAGTCATTTTCTCATCTTTTGTGGCAAAAAATTCTCACTTTATCATGAAATGTTCATGTTCAAATCTTGAACACTCCACCGAAATTCGACATTGTCTGACACATTATCCGGAATTCTTATCCCAAGAAATTTATCCTCAAGAGATGAGATATTTGGCGCAGGAAATTAGTTTTGTGATATCACGAAAAGTCTTCGCAATTTCTTCTAGATTCACTCATCAATCTAATAATAAATTATTCGATAAGATGAGGAAAAAAAAATCATCTTGTTTTGTTTTCGCGAATAAAATAAAATCGTCGTGTTCACATACTTTATTCATCTTCGGTCATCGCCTGAATGACTGAAATTCGGGAAAGTGTGCTTTTGGGGCTGGAACAGCCCAGGGGAGTTGGTCAGACACTTGTGTCGTAACTTAGCCTCCAGCGGCCAAGCAATGCGAGACGTTTGTACCAATGCATTGGCGATACTCACTTGTACGTATGCAAGAGAAAAAAAAGGCTGATACTCTTGCAACACAGACTGCACTTCCACTGTGCGCTAATTAAAGGCTTCTCGATGGTGTGATCTCATGTGAAACGAAATTATTCTGTTGTTTGAGATTGTGGCGAATATAGCATCGATTCTTCCTCAATTTTCACGGAATCGAAGATCGAATTGCTGATGGGTTCAGACAATTCCACATGCTTTTATCGGAATTATCTACAATTATGGATTGTTCAGATAATTAAGCCGAAGGAATTTCAATAAAAATTAATGAGTTGTACATGAATACAAATTAGCGGTGATTTAGTCGATGACATTTTTGTCAATTTTCCATCCATTTCTAGAAGAATTCAGTAGCGAAGCGGTAGAATGGTTTAAAACGGGAGACCCACGTGAAATTTGTATCGAAATCCCCGACATATCGTCGACTAAAAAGAATTAATACCGTCAAATTTACAATTTCATTGAAAATTTAATGAAATTTTGAAAGTTTGAGCAGCAGAAAGGTGAAGTTTGTCCAAATTATTTATATTTCCAATAAACACATGAATATTCAGGACCAAATAATACCGAATCTTTCTGAGTTTCATAAATATTCATACACTGTTAGTGTTTATTCCTAAAAAAAGTTGAAATCGTTTATCTTTTGGTCGGTGTCTACCTATTGGTCTGGTTACCCTACCAGTTGATCTGTCATTTGATAAAACTTTCCACGAAGTGCATCGGATATTTCATCGATTCTATCAATCATATTACATTCTCAATTCTCCGAACCACTCCCCAATGATTTCTCACGACAGAAAATCCTCTCAAATAAATTTCCCTCTTATTATTTCTAATAAGAAAACTGATGGACTAGTTACATAAAAAATCTCCAATCACGTGTCACTATCAGAATCCTCCCAATCTTATCACTCCTCGATCAGACAGATTGAAGTATCCCCCACTCATCCTCGACTGAAATAAATTAATGCCATAAAATTAACGATTTCACTGACAATTTAATGAAAATTAAATAATAATTAAATGATAATTAAATAATAATTAGATAATAAGTTAATTTTCACTTGGAATTACATTTTAAAATTTTATATTTCAAAGTTTTCAGTGAATTTCATTAAATTTTCAGTAGCAGGACGAGGTAATGCCCCGAATTACTTGAATTTCTAATGAGCGAAATCAAATTATGAATTTTCATTGACGACATTACGCGAAATTACAGTGAGACTCGATACGAAATTCTATAAAGTGAACACCTCTCCCATTTCAATCAATTCTAATCCGTATCTAATCCATATATCAACACTAATAATCACAATCATATCCCAGTCCCAGTCATCCAAACCACTCCCCAATGATTTCTCACAAAAGCAAATCCTCTCAAACACATTCCCCTCTTATTATTTCCAATACCAAAACTGGTGGACTAGTTACATCAAAAAGCTTCAATCACCTGCCACAAACCTCTTGACTCCAAGATAATCATTAGAATCCCCTCAATCTTATCACTCCTTCACACAGATGAAAGAACCGAAGACCCCGACTCATCGTCGACTGAAATAAATTAATGCCATGAAATTTACAATTTCATTAAAAATTCAGTTCATTGACAGTTAAAAAAAATCAGTTCAATCAATTCAATTAGTGACAATAGTCAATTCAATTAATTGACAGTTGAAATTCATGTAGAGGTCTTTCTAAAGAAATAAAGAATCCAAAACCCCGGCTCATCGTGAACTGAAATAAATTAATGCCATGAAATTTACGATTTCACTGAAAATTCAATGAAATTTTATTATTTTCAGAATTGAGACGGGGATTCCCCTAATTACTTAAATTTCCAATCCATATTCATAGAATAATTGAATTAAAATTTACAATTATCATAGATTTTCCATCAAATTGTTAATTTTCAATTAATAAATTCTTTGAGATTCAAATGGATCTTCTTGGAACTTGATAAAAATTTCCACGAGACACATCGGTTACTTCATCGATTCTATGATAATCACATTACATGTTCATTCATCTGAACCACTCTCAAACAAATTCCCCTCTTATTATTTTCAATACCAAAACAGACGGGCTAGTTACATAAAAAATCTCCAATCACCTGTCACAAGCCTCTCGACTCCATGATAACCATTAAAATTCCCTCAATCTTATCACTCCTTCATCACCCAGTTCAAAGAACCAAAACCCCCGACTTATCGCAACTAGAAAATTCAATCGACTCGCGCCTAATCAACCCGAGAATCGCTATTAATTTTCGATGAAAGTCTTCCGCTCAATTGGAAATGACTCAATGATTTCCCCTACCGTTTCTCATCCATCATCTGAGACTGGTTTTTCCGGATAGAACACCTGTCTCCTCTAAACCCATACTGAAATAGCTGCTGATGTCACGGGGAAAATTGTCGAGTTCCCCTGAATATCACCGTAGAACTCATGACAGTAGTGTCTACTTTTATTCTTTTGCCATTCCACCTTGCTCAGCCTTCTCTCGGCGGGAGGGGGCGGTGAGGAGGGTCCGGTAATAAAAATATAAAGGAAAGATTATTGGAAATAATTTTTGCGTCCTCAGAGTCCGATGGTCGGCTCTGAAACGCAGGATGGAATGAGGAGAACCGGTATGCGGTCAATCTCGAAAGATTCTCCACTGGTGCTTGCGGCTGTTGCCAGTTGCCGCGCGTGCGTCCGCACGGATGCCCGTACACCACACGGATTTTCTCTCGCCCCTTTTTTTTTCATTGGTCATTCATAATTTCGAATAAACAATAGATAAAAAATAGATTCAAACGGGTAAATTCGCGGAGAGGAGTAAAAATGAAGTTTATACTCTCGTTGGGAGGAGTAAAAATGCGAAAATTTGTGTGACATTCGGGCGATTTTGTTTATTTTTTAATGGAAAGTATTTTAGAATAATTGCGGTTGAATTTTTGCGTTGAAGAAATTTGAGTGCAGGGTTTTTCGTGGAGTGCTTCGGATTCAATCATTTGTAATTAGGTGCATTTATGTAATCGTAGAATTGCCACCTGAAAGTGCCAAGTGGAATTGTGAAATTGCCCTCCTCTTCATTCAATCTTGGAAGCCGTGAGTTGGTTTTTTTTACGTCTTATTGTCCATAATTATCCTGTTATGGGAGCGATTTTTACACGCTGTGGGACATTACTTTTCTACCTGGGGATAATATTGCGAGGGAGTTTGTGAATTCAGGTGGTTGAGGAGAGAAAATTGTTTTGTGCAATTTCCGGGGGGGATTTTGATGTCGAGGAATTCATGTGTGACCTCGATCGAGACAGGAGGCCGGCTCGTTTCGTTTGTGCTGGGAGATGTTTGAGGTGTTCTATGGAAGATTGTAGGAAATACAAGATGATTGCATTGGGGTGATGGTGTTTGAGGATATTCCCGGGGTTTCGGCGCTTTTATTCGCTGATATTCTTTGCAATATTTTTAGGTGAGCATCAGAGGTTTCATTCGAGTCCCATTTTGCCCGGAGAAAATTTTTGAGGGGATTTTTGGGGAATTTTATCACCGAAAATTCACGATTTGATGAAAAAATTTATGAAAATTGCGGATTTTAGGTCCTTTTTTCCGTGAGGGTTAATAGAAATGAAGGAAATTCAGGTGAATGCATCAATAAATTATATTTATATTCAACTGGAACTTTAATTCGTCAAAATTTTTTAACGCATTAATTAATGAATGATTATATTATTGGCAATTCGCAGTTCCCAATTTAATTCTCAATTTTTAATATTTAAGAAATATTTTAAAAACATGAAAAATTTTGAAATGCTGTTAAAATACGTATTTCATTGCAAATTGAATGAGGTTTTTTATGTCTTCTTTACGGGATGTTGTCATTGAAAATTCACAATTTGATGAGAAAATCAATAAAAATTGAAAATTTCACTTCAATTATTTAATGAAAATTACGAGAAATCAGGAAAATTTAAGTAAATATATTCTTGAATTATCAAATGATTAGAAAGTTAGCATAATTTGGGGCTAAATATGCATGTCATCTCTGAAAAGTCAAGTAAAATAGGAACTTCTCGTCTTCATGCCGCTCAATAATTTAGAATTCCGTTGAATTTTCAGTGAAATTTGAATTTTCAAGAATTTTTTCTTATTTAGAATTTTACAACTAAACGGTTTCCTACGAAAAAAAATTTTCTGAACATTTAAACACTTCATTATTTATCTACAACATATTTCATTGCAAAATGAATTATACTTTTTTGTCACTCAACTACCAAAATGATAATTAAAAATATAATGACAACCGAATGAATCAATTTCTCTCGAAGATAACTTCGGGTTGAACATGTCGAAATCGAGCTGCAAAATACAAAAAAATAATCATTAAAATTTTGTCATCTCCCCTAAATTCCAAGATAATCATCGCAATAACGTCCCGCTGTCCCCTTCACATTTCATAATTAAATATCGAAGAAGATTGTTTCACTAGAAAGTCAACCCTCCGATCCACGAGAAGTTTGATCGAGTGCTTTCATATCACAGACAAATTGCTCAAACAAGATACGAAATTGATTAATTCAGTCCCTCGAAATTCCGCCGAGATGCGACTGCAGCCATAAAAACATCACTTAACCCGCTTCCTCCTAAGATATTTCATCGATGGAAAAAAAAACAATGATAATAAATGCCACTCTCAGACACTCAGTGAAGTACCTTCTATCCCCATTGATAAATACCCCATTCGATACTTGAAATTGTTTTATATATTCTACCAGAAAAAAAGTTGAATTTCACAGAGCTCCGATTGTATCCCATTTCACGTAGTACAGTTGAAAGTTATCGGTTTCATTCTCATTACTCATTGTGTTTATCCCCGGCCAAGTTCAACAATGAGAGCCACACACTGAGAAAAACCATCGAGATAATTAAAAACAATGCACTCAGACAAGTGTTTATTGTTCATTTAAATCGGATAAAATTCATTTCAATAGAAAAACAAGTGGAACATTGCTTTCCTTATAAAAAAGTAAATATATTGTTGCTAATAAATTACCAATTTGCTTCCGAATGGAATTTCTATGACGATGTATTTAATAAATATATCATCATTTTAAATATATTGTTGTTAATAAATTATCAATTTGCTTCCGAACGGAATTTCTATGACGATGTATTTATAATTAAATTCAATGATACATTGTCCCAGCATTTTATTTTCATTTAAGAAAAGAACAAGCAGTTTTTAATGTTCAATGGTTCAACATTACATGACAAATTTAAGGACGTGAGTGCAAAATGTTCCTTATTTTATATTATTTATTATTTTTTATTTTTTATATTTACTAAAGATGAAAGAAACGTGAAGTCGTTTTATATCGAAATATCTCGAAACTGCCTGACCGCTAATCCTCAATTCTGATTGGTCAATGAGTCGCGTGAAGAAGTCGCTGAAAAAAATCCCCGGTATTTTCACATTCTTCAAATACCAAAAAAATTTTCTTCGTCATATTTATCATTTTTTCACGTGTGAATTTTATCTTTATATCAAAACATATCTAAAGTGCCTAATTGTTGATCGTGAGAAAAAACAAAATAGTATTGCTAAATTTTTTTCACTCAAATGATTCTTCACTTCCCAAATTTTAATTTTTTCATATTTATCATACGCAAAAATGATCAATTCTTGCTTTTCAGATTTTCATACATAAATTCAAAACTCTACAAAATTCATGGAAATTCTTCGGTTTCCCAAGTAATTCGAGAAAAATCTTTGAAGCTCTTCGGTTATCTGGAAAACTGTGAAATTTTCCGAAGAATTCAAGAAATTTTTTCAGTTTTCTAAGAGCTCAATTCATAACCCTCCCGTAATTTTTCAACAATTACAGATTTTAATCAGATTATTTTAAAAGGTAAAAAAAAAGAATCAATCGAAGATTAAAAATCATTCATTGATGTTTCACTCTTCATGCTCTTAATTCTCTTTAAGTCATTATCAACATTTATAAACCATCTATGAGTATATGTAGTTTAATAAATTCGATTTCTTCATTGTCACAATGAAAAGAAGGGCGCGCACAAGTCTAGCCATATGAAAAAACCGAACATGAAATGCTAATTTCATTTTGCTCTCCACCTCATGAAATCGCATAATTAAACTGATGTGGAATAAACCCTGAAACTAATGATGACTCTGTCATTTCAATCATCATCTGGTGGTCTACTTGAAGAGCCTCAAAACAAGGATGACACACGAGAATCTACCGATAGTCATTAAATCCCGGCGATACGTCCTGAGATGAATCATTTTATACCGATTTCTATTTTCTCCCCAACGCGATTCGTTCCGCATTTTATTCAATTTTTTTCCCCTGGCAAATGGGAATAATATCTCTAATAGTTTCACCCGTTTTGCGTGGTCACTCGACAAAACGGTTGTTTAACGTACATCACATGGGTGACAGCGGTTATTACCAATTCGATGGCTTTCAGGCTGCTTTTCTTCATGTCGTCTCGACGCTGCTTGTATGGCTGCGGAAGCCATTTCGGACGGTTGTAACACTTGCAAATCCAATTTGTTTGACATTCCAGACGGTATTTTTTTGTTGTTTAAAAATTGTGTCTAAATATTTTCTAACAGTTGATATTTTTCGATCGTTTCGATCGTATTTCGTTTCGGGCCGGTGACTCTAGATTGGCTTAAAGCATTATGAATAAACTCCAGTTGATTCCTTGAGTGTAACGAGGAAGAATAAATTCAAAGAGCTTAAAAAACAAAATTCATCTTTGATAATTTTTCCGTGAATTCTAACTTTGATGAGTAAGAAATCTATTTTTCATCACGATGTGTAGAAAGTGGAATTTTACTTTACGCACAACTGACGAAAAGACGAAACTCCACTGATTTTGCTATAAAATATTATCAATGAACATGTTCAATAGAATCTGCCCGAAACTAATAGAATTTTCAATAGCAGTTCAATGGAAATTGTATAGAACGGTTTTATTGGATTCGCTACGTTCTATGAAATTTCCTCCTACTTCCATTAATGCAAACCCTCAAATAAACACCAACAAAGAATCTCGTTTCCATGATTTCAGGCAATCACGAAGAGGTACTAGATCTATCTCTATCCCTCCAAGATTACCACCTCCAAGAGGTGACATTATACGCTAAGCAGGGACAAAGCCTGGGATCGGCATTGAGTTCCCAGGACATAATGGCCCTTCAACGCCAAGAGGAGAGACGTCGTCAACAAGCAAAACAAAGTGTCTTTGGTTTTATGTTCAGAAAATCCAAAGAGTCGTCATTGAGTACAGACAGCCTCGGTGGAAGGTCTGTATCTCCAGCTCACAGTGATGAGACCGGTCGGTCTGTGAGTCCATTGGCACCACCAACCAGGCCGCAACGTAAACGCCGACCGGCGCCAAATCCACCAGTAAACAAAACCACAAATAACAATAATGACGGTACTAAGGATGAGAACAAAGAGAAACTCGTTATTAGTCACAGTCGTAACAGCAGCGACAGCTCTGGTTATCATGAGGCATCTGTACTCAGTGATAATCCGGATTCAGCGGGGAGAATGCCAGAGACACTGCCAAGGCGTAGCAAACCACCTGGTAAATTTGAAACACGCAAACTTGCACACACATCACAGGCTAGCAAAAGTCTCAGCAATCTTGCTGTGACCTCAGCAAGTTTAAGTCACGCAACTAGCAATACATCACTCAGCTCAACTGGTAATTCATTTCGTTCGTTAATTTTATTATTTCGCGGAGCTTGTTGCTGCTTTTTATCGGGCTTTCTCGTTATTGTATTCACAATTTAATCAGCATTAGAATTGCATAGCGGAATTTTGTTGGGGGAAGAGGTGGTTATGATGCGTGCACAGAGAAAAAAGGTTTTTGTTTTCAGAAAGAAGTTGGTATCGTCGGGATGAGAAACTGGTTAATACTAAGAAAATAATGAGAAAATGCCTCTTTTCTTTGAGCTTGTTGTTGTTTTTATTGGGCTTTCTTGTTATTTTAATCATATTTTAATCAGCATGAGGATCACGTAGGGGAATTTTGGTGGGGGAAGAGGAGTTAATGATGCGTGCAGAGAGAAAAAAGGTTTTAGTCTTCAGTGAAACGTTGGTATCGGCAGGATGAGAAACTATTTATTCAGTTTCAGAAGATAAATTTTCAGAAATGAGTACTAAACAATACTTATTTCCAGTGAAAATGTTTTTGGAATAAAAGCCGGTGAGTTGTTATTGAGAACCTTTGCGTTCGACAATCAAGAGTACGGGAAAGGAATAAAGTTTAGGATTAATTCAACTTTGATTGAGTTAAATTACGTTGAGATAAAATTACGGATTTCATATTCACTGAAATTTCAAGGAATTTAGTCATTGAAAATTCATAATTTCATAGAAAAATCCATGGGAACTGTAAATTTCAGTTCAAGTATTTAAGGAAAATTGATGAAAAATTCGGAAAATTCACAGAAATCTCCCCCTGAATTCCAGATTCCTCTGAATTTGCAGGGAATTTGGCAGTGACTATTCTTTTTCACTTGAAAATTCATGTAAATTGTGGAATTTCTGTCTTCCTGCCGTTAAAAGAATGGGACTTTACTTTTTTAAAATTTTGCATTCCATTGACTTTTTTCTCTTAAATCGAATTCAAGATCTTTTTCCGGCAAATTCAGTGATTTTTTTTCAACAGTGTTTCTAAATTTCGAATCACTATTTTCCTTTTTCAGGTATTCGTAAGAAACGCGCAGCGCCACCACCCCCAATGAGTCGTCCCCTGTCCTCAGCGATATCCATTCAAGCGTTAGAGCGAATAGTGGACTCTGAGGAGTCCCTGACATCAGATATGGGCATATCAAAGCCACCATCGGACATCGGTAGCAATTCAAAAGCAAATTCAGACATTGCTGTTGGCAGTCACACACCCGAGCCAATCTCCAAAGATTTCTATCACAAAACCGAAACAGAGAGCAAGAAAGTTGTGTCGGAGGAGAAGGAGAAGACGACTGATATGTCTGAGAGTAGAAAGTCCCACATTTCCGAGCAAGTTGATGCGCCTGAACACATTGTAGAACCTGCTAGAGTAGCCAAAAGAGGTAAGCTAGTGCGTTGTGTCAGTAGTATTGAGCATGATAAGCGTTCATCTAGGTTTTATTCACGAGGAGGCTCGGGGAAACCAGGACGAGTGGGTGAAACGATCACTTCGCTGCAAAACAATCCCAAAACACCATTGCACAATTTCCCAAAACCTAATTCCACTTCAGGAAATAGCGATTTCTGTGGTGATTCGGGTGTTAACGACGAACGAAGGAATCGAATATCCAAAACCTTTAGCCTCAGAATTTCAGAGAACAGTCAGGTTTTCCAGTCTCTGGACCTGCGGGTGGCGAAAAAAATTGTAGATGAAGAGAATAACTTGAAGAATCGAGAAAAACTGAGTTTTCCTAAGATTTTTAATGCAAAGAATTCCATTAATCATTTATGGAAATCTTTTCATCGAAAGAATGTGAGGAAAATTGTCTCTCCCCAGATTTTTGTGGTTGAAAATTTGGAGAAGAGAAATCGTCGTGAATTTGAGGGAAATGACAGTGAAAATGACAGCAATAATTTCCAAAATTCTATATTTCCCAGTAATTCAATTGATAAAGAAAATTTTTTGAAAATTCCGACAACCGATGCTTTGAATTATCCGAGGAATTTTAATTCCAATCATTCAAGAATAGAAGAGAATTGTCATTATCAAAAAGACTTGAATAGAATTCCGTTGAAGAGAAAGAATCTGTTGAATTCGCAAAGCTTCTGCGGCCAAAAATGTCCTAGGGAAGAACCGAAGAGACTTAGCATGCGAAAGATGGGGGATTTTAAGACGATTGACAGTTGCGAGCGTCCGATTCCCTCGACTCAGTTGTTCGAGTCCCCGAGGGACAGCGCGTCCTCCCCCCCTCCTCTGAGTACACTTCAGATTTTCGCGATTTCCAAAAAACCGGTGGACATTCCACTCCCAGTTCTTGACTCGCTTCCCAGTGACATCAATGAACTCCCGGAGCTACCGATTTTGAGTCAATTAGTTTCGCAGGAGGATCGGTCGATTGGGGAGAAGAAGCTGAGTATTTTAGAGCCGCCTCCACCGGGTTTAGTGAGTCGGAAAGAATCTATGGAGAATTGGGGGAGATTTCTGAGTCAATTGAATTCCATTTTGGAGCGTAGGGCTGAGGAATTTGTTTGAGGGAGAACGGTGTTGAAAATTTTTGGCTTAAATTTTGATTAAATGACGGTTGATTGATTTTTATCTGGAAAATCCCCATGTCGACGATTTTCTAGGATTTAGAATACGAAGAATTCAATTAAGAAATTAAATTTTAATAAATTAAATTAAGTCAATAAATTAAAATTAATTAATTAAGTCAGTATTTAAATAATGAAATTGAATTAATTATTTTTTTTAATTTTGAATTTCTTCATCAAAAGAATGTGAAGGAAATTATCTCTCTCCAGATTTTTGTGGTAGAAAATTTGGAGAAGAGGAATGGTCATGAATTCGAGGGAAATGACTGTCAGAATGACAGCAAAATTTCCAAAATTCTATAATTTAAATTCTGACAACTGATGCTTTGAATAATCCGGGGACTTTTAATGCCAATCATTCAAGAGTAGAAGACGATTATCATCGTCAAAAAGATCCTATTAGAATCCCAACATTTAATTCGATTTAACGATGGAAAATCATGAAATTTCACTTTTTACTGAAAATTCAATAGAATTAAATAACTTAATTCCGTAATTCAATCGGGAATTCAAGAATATGTAATTTAAAAAAACCTTCAAGAAATTTACCGTAAAATTCAACAAAAAATATTAAAAACTCAATGTTTGTCTACAATATCAGAATTCACATAAAATTTGAAGTTCCACATGAGATAGACAATGTATGCAGTAACAAATATCCTCAACTTAAAAAAAAAATTCAGAAAAAATTCAAAAAATTTGACTTTGTCAATTGAAGTGTCTAAAAAATTATAGTAGTTTGTAGAATAACATATTTCCCAAAATTCCTAAAGAAAACAAATTATTTCGGACAGCTGAATTATTTTTTCCCATGTTAAATGAAATTGCCCATGACGCAACGTTGCCGGAGACTGGCTAAACGCGTCCGGGCAGTGTTGAGTGAATTCGGCAACGCGGAAGCCTAAATAACGCGGCGGGGAATCCCCGCGGAGGCGACCAAGTCGCAGGGTCGCGTGTTGTGACCAGACTAGAGTTAAAAACTAAAATCTACGTGGCCTTTGGATACAGTGGTTACTCCCTAGCATTTCAGCCTCTGGGGCCAGAATTCAAGGAATTAAATGTTCGTTAAGCCCTTACTCTTCCCTTGGAGGCGGAGCTCGGAATGAGATAAACAGAGAGGAAGAATCTGTCTGTTTCACTCTCACATGCCGAGAGTAATTTCACTGCGCAATCCCGTCGCGCAGAGGGGCACACAGATATACCCAAACACATTTACGTTGTCGATGGTGGGGGAAGTCAACTTCTCCGACTGAAATGTTAGGGAACCGAAATGTCAGGGCGAGGGGCTGGTCACTCCGCAATCGAGTGACTCAGTGATTTCCAGAATCAGATGATTTCCTGTGATTTCTTGTTGATTTCCATGATTTCTCAAACGATTTTTGTGATTTCTCAATCAGTATTAATCAGAATTCATCAGATTCATTGAATCAGAATTTCTTGAATTCAAGAAATCAATGGAGAAATCGTGATTTCGGGACTCGAATGGGGCATCTGTCAATAATGGCAGTTTTCCACATGACGTTACAATACGTAAAGATGTCAAAAACTTCGTAGCGTCACATTTCGGGATTGACCCGGTGGCTTGGCGCAGTGGGTAAGTTCGTTGTCTCGGCCGGGTAGAATGGTGCGATCTAACCATTTAAAGTCTTGATCATCATCGCAGTATACCCTAACTGGGTCGAAGCGATATAAAATAACAATAAAAAAAAAACATTTCGGGATTGAATGATTGCGAACGCACCGATACTATAACAAAAATTTTAGATTTGAAACTGCAAAATCAATTTCGATTTTACACTTATCGATGATTTCAAATGATTTCGGAAATCACCTGATTTCTTTATGATTCCTATTGATTTCCATAAATCTTTGGAAATCGTTATCGAAAATGGAAATCACTTGATATCTGGTGATTTCTTCCTTGACTTCCAGTCGAGTGGTTCAGTGATTTCCTAAGTGACCAGCCCCTCGTGTTAGGGCGTAACCACTGTAGCCTAATTTCCCAAAAATCATTCTAAAATGATGAAAGATCTACAAAGCAGCTTCCACATCGTTTCACCCACCCACCTCCCCCTCTCCTCCCTGTACAAAAATTCAGTTTTCACTCCACCCAAATCTGCTTGCATCCAGCACTTGCACCCCACCCCGCCTGCATGTCAGTAATGACCTCACGGTGATGGTATTATTTTTTTTCTCTTGTACAGTTGATGCGTCACGACCTATTCCCAAACCTCGTAAAGTGCCTCCAAAAGTACCAGAGCGTAGAGTTTATTCTGTCGAGTCATCAGTATCAACCGACAAAGTAGATAGTTCCCTAGAGTGCACGCCCCCCGGAGCAGTTCATCCCGATGTCGATGATAAGATCGAGAAGCAAATGAATGCCGACACTCTTCCAAACAAACGAAATGATAATCCGGAAAGAAGAGCGTCTGAAGAAGACGTCAATACCGCGGAATTGATAATTGACGCGGACGATTCGGGATCATCTCCGAGGGGGGATGATCATTTTGAGGAGAAAGTGCCAGAAAATTCCGCGGAGAATGTCGGAGAAGACGCCAGATCTGTCGTGCGGACGCCGGATCCATCAGACGAACAAAAACGGTCGGAAAATTCTGGCGCAGAAGTGGATAACGAAGAGACAGCCCTCAAGGTCTTGGAGGAATCTCTGAAGGGGGAAGCTGATACTGACCCTGAGGAGGATTGTCCGTCCGATGGCAACAGTTCCCCGGCTTCCAGACGTTCTTGCACGGTGATATCGACAATTCCAAAGTGCTGTCACCTAAAATCCCCAGAGATATCGCCAAAGAGAGGGGAAATGCCCCCCAGAGATCACTCGGGACTGAAGAATCAGGAGGATTCGTCGTCTCCAGGTGCAGCTGATGAGTTGGGGGAGAGAGTGAGGAGAAAAACGAACAAATCCAAAGTATTCAGGAGTCAGTCCTCATTTGGTGACTTTAACACTACTAAAGTATTCGAGAAGAATAGCAGACCGAATAATTCACACCCAGATAATTTCAATTGCGCACTGAATCCCAATTTCACGGCTGGCATTGTCGGTGGGAGTAACGAGGAAAATGGAAAAGTGGAGGGAGGTGTGGGGAAAATCGGAGGGAGTCACATGCCCAAGTTGGAACAATATCCGGCGTTTATCACTCATGGAACTAATCGCGGATCGCGAGGGGATTTGGGAAGGCTTGGAGGACAGCACGACGTGGGCATGGGGAAAGCAGGTGCATGCCAATCCAATTGTACTAACATTTTTGTTTTACTGAGTTTTTTTTAGCGTGTGAAATACGTTTTTTTTGTCACTGGCGGGGTTTTTATTGTTGCACTTGGGAGTTTCCGGGGTGAATGTTTTGTGGGGATGCACTGTGATTATTCATAAATATATAATAAATCGTATAGAAATCGTATAGAAATTTTCTACACGGATTATTTTTATACATAATTTTTTACATAAATTTTAGTTCTCATACGAAAGATGTCTAAACACTCCGGAGAAAAACGTAGAGAAATGTCGCAACTTCATACAAAATGTTTGTATACATGTGGTAGTGGGTTGTATAGGATCAAACCTGTAGAAATCGTGTAGAAATAATTTGTATAAAAAATATCCGTATAGAAATATCCGAATATCATATACGAAAATCCTATAGGAATTCTATATGCAATCCGTATAAAAAATTTCTGTACGATTTTTTCATACGCGGAGGTGGAGTGGAGTGTTGATCATTATTTGGGGATATTCGGGTGAGAATTGGACTTGAAAGCAGTCGTTTTGGGTTTGGGTGAATGTAGAACAGATGAAATTCAGCGCTTTGACCAATATTTGGTGACGAGATGTTGGTGAATATTTTGTTCGTCATCTAAGTCACAATGCGTGCGCGAAAAAATTATATGGATCTAGGGCTTTGAGGATATCCAAGTATTTTGGCTATTTCTTCTCCAGTGAAATGCTTTTCTACCCATTTGACCCCAGGTTTCCGAATCTTTTATAATGATTTTATCATTTGAAGTTTGCAGGTCCGATTTTGAATATGGATATTGAACTGTTAGGAAATGTTTTAAATATCTGGAAAAAATTAGAACGTTTACTTTTAGAGAAAGATTGATGAAATTATTTGAAAATTGCAATTTTTGAAAATTATGAGCATTTTCTGTAAATAATTTATAAACAATCAATTTTTCACTGTAAAAATCATTTATTCGAAATCGTCACAAATGTATTCATATTCAGAGTTTTACCAGAAATCGATTTGATGCCTAAAAAATGAGGTTTCTGAAAGTTTAAACAATTTTAATTGTTTATTTATAAACAACGAATGTTTAAAAATATAATAATTCTGCACAAAATGTAGAAGATACTTGGATATCCTTAAAACCCCAAATAACCTAGGACATTTATTGAGAAATTCATTTGGTTTTTCGATGATTCCATTCAAAATTTCGAAAATTTTCCGCGCGTTTTTTGTATAATTTTTTTATTGATCATAAAAGCTAAAAAATGAAAATGTAAAAAATTACGTGAAAAATATTTTCCACGTTTGTTTTCACATAGTTTTTCCAACGACTTGGAAATTTTTCTAATAGGATGAGCGGAAAAGAAATAAAATTGACAATAGACATTAGATAGACATGCAATAGAATTTCGTAGCAAATGATCTAGATGTTTCTTTTCAATTGAGGTCATCCTGAAATTTGGAACATTCTCTATTGAATCATCAGAGAACTTTCCCATTTTTTCGTTTAGTTGTTTACAAAAGTGATTTCACGTAAAAAAAGTAATTAATTTTCTAAAAACTAGTCAAAGTATGTTATCCGTATATTCATCCCCTCGACTTGCCTCAACCCTCGCCCCCCTCAATTACCAACAAACTAACAAATCTCTTATTTTCTAGATAAAGAAGATCAGCCATCAGACACCGACATTCTCCTGCAGCGAGTCTCCACGACCCTGGCCACAGTGCTCCCCTCGTCCCCCCAGGACGCCCCCGCCCCCCACAGCCCCCCGGAAATACCGAAAACCGACCCGGAACCCCCGACCTCGCCGAACCAAACCCTGAACTCGCAACACGACACATCGGACTACGTCTCAGCCTCCGGGGAGGACCTCTCAGGAACCGACTGGGAGTACCAGCTGCCAGACCCCCCCTCAGCCTTCCGAGACTCGTCATCCCCCGCCCCCAGTGGCTACGAGACCATAACCCTGGGCTCAGTGGAGGCCTTCAAGGAGCCAATAGCCATTATCGACCCCCCAACGACCCTGGAGCCCCCTCCC